TTAGGTCAAGTTTTTCAATAATTATGCAACTTTTAATGAATTATTCTTTATTTGGAAAGATTTATTTTTATAAAATACTTTTTTTTTAATATCACTTTATATTTAAATAAAAAGTCACAAACATTTAAATATCTTATATTGAGGTTTATATAAGGGTTAATATAAAAATTAGTTGCAAACAATGACTTTTTTTCAAAACTGTAAATTTATAGATTTTAACTTGAACTTTTTCTATAAGCACTTCTATTTAACAACACAAAATCATTTTAAAAATTATTATCACATTTTAAAAATCTAATTCACTCCTAACAAGGCTGCAAGCAACCACTATTAAGTTGGTAATTACTAGAAAACAAAGAATAGAGTTAAAGAGCAAGAATAGAGTTGAGAGAAAACTTGAAAAGGTTGTATGAGTCAGGAAAACATGAAGATGGGAGAGAGTCTCAAAGGGCCCAGCATCTATGTCTCCCCAGGCTCCTAAATGCCAGTCTAACCCTGAGCATGTCTTCCCCATAGTCACACCCTACAATGAACAAGGAAAACAAATCTATAATGCTATTCTACACAACTGGCACCTTATCTACAATGACAAAGAACTCTCTACACTGTTTTTGCCAGTACCCACCCTTACAAACACTTATATACTAACTAAAAAAAAAACATTTTTTTGTTGTTTGTTGTTTTAAAAACAAATGTTTTTCGGATAATTTTTGCTCTAATTGTATTTAAAAACTTTAACTGTGTTTTTAACTGTGCTATCCTTTTGACCTAATTATCATATTAAAGAGTTCATTGAGTTACCCTAAATTGGTTTGAATCTTATTTGAAATATATACTATAAATTGTAACTGTAAATTAAAATACCTCCTTGACCCAGCTTGTCAAATCAGGAATCCCTCAAGGATTTATCCCCTGCCTCTGTTTTTTTTGTTATAATAATGAATTAAACTAATTAGTTCAAGTAAATTAAATAGTTTTAATAATTCAACTACTTACCATTTTGTTGATAAAACTAATTTGCTCATAATTGAAACTCTGTTGAAAAAATTCAAAATAAAACCAATGAGGCCATATCATTTGTTCTTAACCGGGCGAGAGCTAATAAAAACTCATTTAATGGTAACAAAATCCAAATATTAGTTTTTAAAAATATAAATTGAAAAATTACTAAGCAATTAAATTTTGCCTAATAATGGAGAAGCATTCCAGCAACTCCCACAAAATCTGTAAGATATCTTGTTGAATATAAATCATACAAAATTAAATTGATCAATTGATATGAATGCAAAAAAAGTAAGGTTATTTCACTAAAAATGGGCTATTTGGCCAACATATCAACTTGAAAACTGTGACTAGCATTTATGATTCCATATTTGGTCCTTACTTGTTTCTTTGTTGCATGAAAACATCTTAGATTTTAAACTGCATGAAAGCATTGAACTTTGTGCCTTTGTATGGAATTACTTGCATGGCAGACTTTCAGATTTGTAAGAAGAAGACAATTAAAGCAAATGTTTTTATTGCCTTTTTCATACAAATTAGAACTGATTAGGGTAGTTTAGATTGGGTGTTTGCTACTGCAGCAGTGAACACCGCTATCACCTTTGATTCTTAATTGGCTAAAATACAATTGTTGAACACATTTAAACAAAAAGATATGGCAAAAATACAATAAAATATCAATTCACTTTTGAATGAAATAATCTCCTCGATTCTATTAAAACTTAAAATTCAAGATCCATTTTTTTTTTTTAAATAAAATAAAACAAAATGATCTGCTCATAAACTATCATCATTATTTATTTATATTAAATATATTATAACGACAATTTTTTTTTCTATTTCCTATTATTATACTTTATTCATTATTTTTGCTTTTACTCAATATTACTACACTTTATTTACTACTACCGAACTTACTATTTTAGCTATAGCTGTTAACAGTTTTAACATATTGTAAACAGTCCTTTTGTGTGAATTGATCGAATAAGTCTTTTTGAGTTATTGTTTTAATTATTAACAACATTTAAACAGTTTTTAAATTTTTAAATACGATTCAATATTTCTACAAATAGTTATATTTATTTTAATAAATTGTTTTCTAAGTTAAAATTCGAAAATGTTTTTATTGATAAACAATGTATTTGCTTGCTTCTATCATGATTTAATATGACATCAATATAAATTACAATTTAAGTTGATATCATTACAAATTACGTTTGGATTTGTGATTAAAAGGGAATTTTAAAAGTACGCGCTAATATTTGCTCTATATTGATCCGTAAATAGTTTTGTAATTTTTTTTAACTTTTTATTTAGAATAAAAATTTTTTACTCCTCATGGTCTCGCGACTATAGACAGAAAATACGTAAATAAAGTAATTTTAATATCTATGGTCGCTTTCAACTAGAATTTCGGACGTCTATGATTGGTTATAAATTTCAATTTTTGATTGAAAAAAAATTACCTCAGCCAGCTAACGTCTTAAACACGTTTTGTGTTTACTCGGCATATATGAAGGCAATATTTGACTTATTGCAGTATTTATTATTTTGATTAAAAAAACTTTTTAAGAATTTATGGTTCTCCGTGAGTTAAAGAATTAATTATTAGGATTTAAGAGATTTCACACTAATCATGATTGGTGTAAAACTACTTCATTAGGCGTATTATTACATTGTTAAAACGTCTTTAACTCGTCTTTTGTTTACTGATCGTTTACTAGTAATTGAAAAGCAATTCAAACACAAAAATACTTTTTTTTATCGATTAATACAACTTTTTAAAAAATTGCTGTTCTCTGTGAGCTAAAGATTTAATTATTAAAGAAATTAGGAGATGTTCAGCCAGCTTCTGTTTAAACGATTTTTCAACAATCGTAACATTTAAGAATAATTGAGTTTATAGCTAAATATAATCCTAAACTATATGCTGTATGCATATAGTTTAGGAGTGAAGTTTACTCCTAAACTATATGCATACAGTAGATGATTCTAGTACAACTCCTACATTATTATGGGACCTATTTTATTGTAAAGTTTTGGAGCAAATAAATGACCCCATCTTGAGATATTGCATTCTGCGTATTTTTCTTTTTATGTGTTTTTCGATTTCTGTAAGCGAGGCAAAAAAAAAATTTATTTACAAATTATTTCAAAAAATATATATTTTAGTTTTTTTTTTACATAAAACTTCTAATTTTTATCTTTTTAATACATTATTTAACATTTTAATAATAGCTTTAGTACCACCTTAATTTATTCTAGCTTAAAATAAATTAAGATTGTTAAAGGTTAGATTTGATGTTTGGTATAAGATGTCTGGTATTCTTAAAAGAAAATTTTTGCCTTGTTTTTCTGCTAGTTGTTATAGATACTAAAAATATTAAAATCTTTACCCAATATTAAGAATATTAAAACTTAAACCTAACTTTACATCGCATCATGCTAAAGAGCCAAAGTCTATATAAGTATAAACAGTATTAAAGTTTTTATATTTAAAAACTTGATTTAGAAGTTTAATAAACTAACAACAGAAAGCCGTAATAAAACTTATTATTGGCGCAAATAAAGAAGGATATAATTTAGAGTTTAGATTTAAAAATCTATACTTTATCAACGTCTTCGTTCCTTCTTTAAATAAGTAAATTTCTCATCTAAATAGCATCTTTTAATTTTCTAAAATTTACGCTTCTGTTGTTCAGATTTTACTATATGCGCAGGTTTTACAAAAATTTACCCTTTGGTTGGACAGATTTTATAAGTGTAAAACTAATCTTTTTTAACGTCATTAAAAAAATGTTATATTATAGCAATTTTGTTCAGGAATTTATAATCAGTATAAACAAAATAGAAATATTTATACCAAACAATTATTTTTAACAAAACCGTTATAATATATATATATATATATATATATATATATATATATATATATATATATATATATATATATATATATATATATATATATATATATATATATATATACAAATAGCTCCATTAAATATACAGATAGTTTCTTTAAGTATAACGGTTCGGTTGAAAATAATGGTTCGGTATAGTTAATGAATTTTTTAGAGGCGCTTTAGTTAGAGAGTTAGTTAGAAACTGAACATGTGAGCTGTGTCTAATTGTGCACCTACTACTAATTTACTGTTTTAAAGCAGGAAAAAAAAGAATTTATTTATCTTTCTCTATTATTTAACATTTATGCAAGTAATTGTTTTTTGTTTTGTTTCTTCACCCATTCCAAAATAACGCGACGTTAGTATTATCTTGTTCTATCTCCACATTTTTTAGTTTTGAGATAAAACGATTTAAAAAACAAATACTTTAGGAGACGGCGTATAAATTTTTTTTTATAACTTATGTTTTTTTCAGCAACTTTTATACTTATAACTTAGGTTTCAATTCAGTAGAAAGACATTATTTTGAGGAACACAACACTATCATAAACTCAACTTTTTTCAGAAAGTGGAGATAGAACAAGATAATTCTAACGTCGCGATAATTTGACAAAATTTTGTTGGAAAGGGGAAGAAATTACCTTTCTTACATAAATAACTAAGTAAAACTTGAAGATATTTTATAATATTTATTTTGGTTAAATTAAATGCTAAACAGTGTCATCGATTATTATTCAATTGAATATTATATTATTTGACTATTAACCCATTCATAACTTGTGGTTTACGTGGATTATAAACCAATTGCAAATTGTTAAGGTCACAGTGACAAAGTCAATTCAATTATCAAAACTAGTTTTTTTACGTAATTGTTCTTTTCAAAAATTTAATAAATAACATCCTTACTCGAAACCCAATTTTAAAAACTAAAATACCTTCCGTTAGTTCAACCAAAAGGTAAATTAACAACAGGTCAATCCACATTCTTCACGTAGAAATTATTTTGCTTTCATAAATTCTATGATTTTGTTTTGATAAATTGTCTTTTTACCCTTATTTATAATAATGCTTATAAACTGTTCATATTTTTAAATTCAAAATATTTATTTTGAATGGAATGATTCACACAATGTTTACACGACATTGTTTAATTGGTAATCTCAAGCGTTTGTTTGTTTAATTACTAATTTTTATTATTCATTTCGATAAAGCGGATTTTTAAAGATTATCAAATGGGAAAAAAGATGGGGTAAATGCTAAGATAGAGGGGTAAAAGATAAGGAAAAACCTAAACCTACTTTTTATGTTTTAGATTTTTAAACATATTTAAAATACACAGAAATAAAAAATATCCTAAAGGTAGATTGAATTGGTAATCAAAAGAACATTTATCGTTATCAAGTTTTGAATTGTAAACATAATTTATACTGACCCGCCAAAGTTTTTCAATCTTTCTATTATTATTTTGTTTGAGAGAGATTGGTTTATAACAAAAATCTTTAAATGAATAAAATAAAAAAGTTTCATGTGGATCTATTTGTTATTGGAGCTAAAACTTGTTTACAATTAAAAATTCCGTCAAAATAATTGTTCTGACGCCGCGGTTGCAAATGAACTACTCGATGTTGACAAGAAGAAATTTTCTACTTCGTTTATTCTGTTTTAACTATTCTATGTTGTAGCTCTTTCTTAGTCTTTCATAGTCTCTTGCGGAAATTTTGAAAGGAAGAGAGCTGTGACGCAACCTGCCTTTGAATCTTTAAAGTGTCGAAGAGCGTTTTTCTTTTTCTTTAGATTCTTGTCAACAAATAATTCTTTAAATTATGACTTAAATGATTATATATATATATATATATATATATATATATATATATATATATATATATATATATATATATATATATATATATATATATATATATATATATATATATAGAACGACTCAATTTAGTTTAAAAAAAAATCCAAACATTAAAAAGTTTTGCTTGTATCTGAGGAGTGGACTTGCAAAACCAAAAAATTCACTTTAAAAAAAAAAAAAGATTAAAAAAATCTTTTTTTTTGAGTCAATGTTTTTTTATATTAAAATTCCTACATCTTTACAAATAAAAATTAAATTTAAAAGCAACTATTTTAATAACATTTTACCTGCCTTAAATTATTTTGTCCGTGCAAAACCAGATAAAAAAATTATTGTCGATGCAAAATAATTTATATAATCAACATTCTGTTTTAAAAACGTGTTATAAAAATGGAGGGCATCATTTAAGATAAAAATCATATACAAAAAAATTCACTAAAATCACAAAAGTAACTTTAAACAGTTACAATTGAGTTTTAACTTCATCAATCTTATAAAAGTATTAAACATTAAAATTACTTATTTTCTATGGCAGAGGGACGTTTTGCAAAATTATATTGATTTTTAAAATTGTCACTTGTCAAGTTGACTTCATAAACTATTTTTGAAAACCAGTTAGATATAAATTTCTTATTAAAACCAGGCATGCAAAACCAGATAAAACATTTTTTCATTTTGTATTAAAAACAAGATCAAAAGAAAACGATTATCAAATTTTTGTCTTCAACATTCTTTTAATGATATCTATTGTTTAGCTTGTATTTTTTTAATTTTTAGCTACTAAAAAACATTTTTTGCCATTATCTCAGAATGAAAAAAAGTGAATTATCTAGTTTTGCAAGTCCACTCTTCATCTCATCTAGTCAGTCGATTTAATGTTAAAACTTTTGAACTTTTTTTTTTATTATTATTATTATTATAATGCAAATTTCTTAACTTTATTTTTCAAAAAAAAAATTTTTTTCACTGTTTTCAATTTTCAGTTTACAGGAAGTTTGAGATTATTTGATATAAGCTAGTTTAATCAAAGGATTTCAATTTTGTTGATTATTCAATAAAAATAAAATGTTTTGTTAAAAGCATTTATACACTTTTTTTTTTTAAATTAAATAAACAAACTATTGATTATAAGATACTTCAATAGAGTGCTAGTACCAATGACTTATAAGTAGTATAAATGGTCTGTTGTTTATAACAAAAATATGTATAACAACGTCATTTTAATCGTCACACTAGCGTTTTATTTATAGTCAAACTTTTTTGTTGTTGTTATTGATGAGGGAATATTTAAATAAAACTTATAGATTTATTTGCTGAATCTTTTTTCAAGTATCTAAAATTTTGACAGTTTTTACAGTGTTTAAATAAATGTTTAACCTAATCCAAATTAATGTTAACTTAATCCAAATGTTTAACTATATCTAATTTAAAAAAATATAAAACATATTTTTTAGTGACACCCTGATTTGCATTCAACTGGTAGCAAATCATGGTAGCACCCTGTTGAATGCAAATTATGGTAGTACCCTGTTGAAAGCAAATCATGGTAGCACCCTGTTGAATGCAAATCTTGGTAGCACCCTGTCGAATGCAAATCATGGTAGCACCTTGTTGAATGCAAATCATGGTAGCACCCTGTTTTAACTTTTTGCACTTTTATTTATAAACATTCTATATGATGGAAATTCATAATTTAAAAAAGTATATACTATTTAAAAATATATTTATATATAAAGTATATATTTAGTATAGAATATGGCAATTCTCTAGTATAGAATATGACAATTCTCGCCGACCTTTTTGTTATTTGCACCACGGCAATAGCAAAATATGTATAGAAAAAATGGAAAAGTGCAAGCAGTGAAATTAAAACTAAAACCTTTTTTTCGTGATTTGAAACTTGCTAATGGTTTTAAAGTTTAACAAAACACATCAGCACAACGCCACCACCTTGATCATCACAACGACACCACCTTGACTTTTAAGATTTACAAATTATTCTAACAATGTTATAAAGGTATTTTTACTTTAGGTATTTTTTATTTTTAGGTATTTTTAGGCATTTTTACTTTAGGTATTTTTAGGCTGTTACCGGCGTAACTGATGCATAAATACATACATACATACATACATGCATACATATATACATACACACACATACATACATACATACATACATACATACATACATACATACATACATACATACATACATACATACATACATACATACATACATACATACATACATACATACATACATACATACATACATACATACATACATACATACATACATACATACATACATACATACATACATACATACATACATACATACGTACCTACATACATACATACATACATACATACATACATACATACATACATACATACATACATACATACATACATACATACATACATACATACATACATACATACATACATACATACATACATACATATACACATACATACATACATACATACATACATACATACATACATACATACATACATACATACATACATACATACATACATACATACATACATACATACATACATACATACATACATACATACATACATACATACATACATACATACATACATACATACATACATACATACATACATACATACATTAGATTAGATTTATTTCAAATTTCAATTTTCATTGTTTTTAATATCGATGTTAAGGATAATTGATATCAAAATTTATATATATATATATATATATATATATATATATATATATATATATATATATATATATATATATATATATATATATGTATATATATATATATATATATATATATATATATATATATATATATATATATATATATATATATATATGTATATATATATATAATTTTATTTTTCAACATCTTCACTTCCAATTAGGCTTCAAGCATTAACTATAAGAGTTGGAAGTTACTGGAAGTAACATCAATACATCTGTTGTAGGTATTTTTAGGAATAAATACCTAAAAAAAAAAAAAAAGATATGTAATGTAATTTGGCCGTTTTATTATTATTTCTATGTTTAACCAAAGTACATATACCAATCAATTTTTTAATATAGCGATTCTTCTAATAAATTTATCTCATTTATTGACTTCCTTTGTTAAACTGCTTTTAATTCAATATACTGTGAATAAACTTTTGGAATAACAACTTGCAAAGTTAGAATTAAACTGTTTTTTTTTTTCACTTTTTGAAAAACTTGAGTTATAGATTGTGCAATATGGGATAAGCTGGAGTGAACTCTTAACTGGGCGAATCTACATTTGCTAGCCAGCTTTGATATAATATTGGATAAGAAATAAAAAATCTATTCACTAAATTTTTTAACATTTTTCACCAGATATTTTTAAAATAATATTTCATAAATATTTTACATTTATGAAATATTTGAATCTGTTGAATATATGTAGTTGAAAAACAATCGAATGACGCGGTGTTTTACTCATAAAATATATTTTAATCGAAGTTAAAGTCACGCAATGATTGGTTCCGGGTTATTATAAATTAGGGCCAGTTTCACCGCGTAATCTACGAATTTGTGTACGACTAAAAGTAAGCGTAATACTAAAAGTTGTGCAATACTAAAAGTAAATATTTGAATAACACAAATTAACATTAAGAATGCGCTTCAAAGCTTTAAGTTTTACCTTAAAAAGAGACTTGTTTTTCAGATCATAATAATATCTAAACAACTTTGTAATGATGTAGTATATAATAGTGTGTAAACCACTGACGTATTTCGCATTTTTCAGTGTTTAAGCTAACTTCCAGACATGGAGCAAACTCCAAACATTTACATGTTTTTACTTATGTCATAGGTTGATCATGAAAGAGCTCATACTGGATCTCCTTTTTTAAAAGCAATCACAGTCAAAAGGGACAGTTTTTGTTGTCGAATTATCAGAAAAAGAAAATGACAAACAATTTCACTAGTAGAGAGTTGGGTCTTTGGAGAACCTGGATTTGTGGACGTGCTGTTTCATAAACAAAATCAAACCAGTTTATTCGCAGTAAGTCGTCATATCTTTTTCAAATTATGTATAAGTATTTTAAATAATACTTTTAGCAGAGGCTATAGATGTTACAAAATGTTACACTAAATAATTAAAGAACATATAACTGTAGAAAGTTGTTTTAAATTCATGTTTAGTATATAATTTCTCCCAATCCTATTTTGTGCTTACAAAATGTC